AAAACCAGTATCATATAAACGATTCCTTCAATCGACTCGGTCATAGCCAAGAGGGTATAACCTCAAAGGATGTATCGCCACAAGACGATAATGAAACAAATATTGGTAGTGAGTCAAAAATGTAGCAAAATTTAATTAGAGCAATATTTTGATGTTAATCTTTTTTGTAGAACTATATATTCACCAGGCGAATGAATCAACAAATAGCGACGACAGTTCGATGTCAAATGGTAAACAACTAGTTTTGAAACGAGCACTCAGCACTGAAGATAATGTCTCGAATACCAAACGAAAATTCTATGGTGGACCACCTAAACCGGATACACCACCAGTACGTATGTTTAAATAATCTCCCTATTGAATGAATAGGATCATTTTCGCTTCTACGATATTACATATCTTTACCTATCGTTTCGAGTTTCTTGTGGAGGTTTTATATACTTAACATACTCACATTCGCCAATTTTTATTAGAAAATTGGCTATTGATATCTGATTAATTACAAACAAATACAAAACGAAACAAAAAATGGAACATAAGAACGATTCGATATGCTTATCCTAAGTTTCAATGACATTGTTCATGATGACATGATTCGCAACTAACAATTATCTAAAATAAAATGTCACTTCCACGTGGTAAAAACTTTCTGTTAGAAAATGACTATGAATCAACATTAACACCCTATTCAATGAAGTCAGGATATCTCTAATATTTTTTTTAATTGCTAGCATCTCTGAAGCACCGAAGAAAATCATTGACAGCTCGTTGTGGTTCACTATCACGGCGATTTCACTAATTGTGGTGATCTACACTTTTTATACAAGTTGCGCCTTAAATTTTTTTCCTATATATTTTTTTTTTTAATCTTCTTTCTTTGTCCATCAATTGACAGAAAAAGGAGAGTTTTACGTCATTAGTTAGAAAATGTGATGTTTTTCTGTTAAAAATAGAAACACAAACTGTTAAGCACTCTCTTCCTCTCACGTAGATCTCTCCGTACTGGAACAACCCAATTTGGCAATCAGGAGTCGAAGATTCCTCACCTCCAATCAATGTAAGTGAAATGATTTCCGAAAAAAATGAAAAATAAATATATAATTATTTGCCTTGTCACAGGTTCGAATTAAATTACCAGATTTGAAGGTGATCAATAGAGCACCAATACTTGATAGTCCAATGGTTATGGCAAACATTGCAAAAAAAAATAAATTTGCAAATTGAGATAAAATCGATTTTGAAAGCAACTTTATTAATTGATATTTTATTCAAAAGATCTTAAAATAGGGCTCAATTATAGAGCATATAAAGTAAAAAATATTGAAAATTCTTTGATTTTTTTTTTTCAATTTATGAGATTCTACATAATAATTGCGAATTCTAGATGAATTGCAATTTGTGAATTATTTAAGAAATACGTTATGTGTATGCAATATAAATCATTTTTTTCCTTGAATTAAAAAGAATATTATAAATTATTATTTTTTCATTTTTTTTTTTTTGTTTTATTATTTTTACTGACTTCACAACGTTTTGTTAGCAATGAGCTCTCATTCAGTTGTTTGAAAATCATATAGAATCGTAACAGCACAACGCGACACACACATTAATTTATGATTAAACAAACGTCAATTGAGTTTTTCTTTCTCACACAGTGCTTACATTACTGTCGACTCGCCTTCATTTCAGGAAAAATGATTTCAAATTTGCTGTGTGTGTAAAATTTAGAATACAAACAAAACTCTTTCTTGTAATAACTCTGTTTCTTGTAATAACTGCTGTTAAGTATCGGTTAGATAATACGAAAGTCCACGCTAAATATATAGCCAGACTTCATGATAAGAACTATTAACATTGTTCCTTAAATTAAACTAAATTTAATTTTTTCATTTATTTGTTTGATTCATTGATTGTTGATTTGTTGAATGAGCGATGTGTAGTGTGTGAACGATGCTATTCTCAGTTTTCGCCATCGACGTCACTACCACTACCGCTATCATTACTATCATCACTGTTGTCAGACAATTCACTGTTGCTCAAATCGATTGCATCTTCTTCGCTGCTTGATGACCACCATGACTGATCCGAATCGTATTCAGCTTCAATGGAATTTTTTGATGTTTGATACTGAAATGTAAATAATAAACACACATTATACACACATGAATTCGAAAATTATGTTCAATATGTTATTACCTTTTGTTGCTTTTTACGCTTATTTTCATCAAATTGTTTGAAGCGTCGCTCTGCATGCTGATCTTGTATCTTGGCATCGACTGTGAATGCATCTGGCAATTTTATTCCCAATAGTTCATGATAACCTAAATACATGTACGATGAAAATTGAATATTGGATTCAAAGTAAAATAAAAAAAAATGTGATTCACTGTAAACATACCGCGAAGTCGAATATTTCGACCGGCATTAGTGTCTCGATTCAATGTAACCGAACGGACTTTTGTCGTATCACCAATATCATCATCATTTCGTATGTATTTCCATGCGATGACATCTAGACGCCGACGTCGCAAATGTGTTCGTGGCCTCTTCACTGATAATATCGCAGCATTTTCAGCAGCCGGCACAAGCATTCCATCGATCATATTGAAGCGTTTCAGTTCGACTTTTGGCTGGCCGCCATCGTCGTTCGAATTCCGTGGGCGATATTTTTTCTGCTTCTTCAATTGTTTTGAATTCTTGTGACTGTAAATGAATGAACCGCCATCGGGCAGTGCTTCTGGCGATGGTTTACACTGGCGACACACTTTGAATCGAGATTTCGTTGTCTTTCGGCCGTTCCTCGAACCATTTTCCAGTACATTGAAGCAACGGCTACATAATTTCGTTGTTCGATATTCATCCACGTAGCGCACGGTACATTGTGGATGTTGTTCGAGTGCTTTGAATAGCAAACGAACACTTGTACGTACATAACCTTTGCATGGTGAATTTGCATGGGTGAACGGCGCCTTGCCAACAAACACAAATGTATGTTTACCATGCCCTTGTGCCACAATCATTCGCACCAATTCACCAATCGTTCGATGGATTTCAATCCAATGCAAAAAATTAGTTAGTACATACGCTTCGCTGCCGTACACATCCATGGCCCGATTGAAAAACCTTAACGTATGGTCGGCGTACGTTTTAAAATCGATCGTCTTGCTGCTCGGCTGTACATGGCTCTCACACTCTCGTTCGATGCGCTCACGATCGTCGGCTCTGTCGTCTTCAAGCGTACCAACCAGTCGATCTCGTTGTTTCTTGAACTGTGGCAATTTCGTCATCCAATGATATTGCTTGCTGGATATTTTAAAATTGCGTACGCTTTTCACTTTCACAGCGCCCGTATCATCTTTCTCTCGATCGATAATTTGGCCGGCGATGATCTCACGGTCGCCAACATCAAAGCTTACTTCGCGATCGCAGTGGCGTAATATATTTTGTAGCCGTTCTTTGGTTTCAGCATCAGTTGCATCATTTTTCTTCTTCGTCTTCTTCTCTTTGTTCATCAGAAAAACGAATGCATTG